AAAGCTTTTAAAGCTGTGCCTGTGTCCGAATTGGCCCCAATTCATCAAATTAGCATCGAATCTTCTGATTCAGATTTGTCTGAATCGAATCAGGGAGATCCGAATCAACGGATTGAATCACTGTCCCCGATTCAGGCTGAATCAGAATCCGAATTGAATAAGGCCCGTTTCGCACCGCCCTAACAGTCATGTCTACATGCTCCTACAATGGTATAAATGAACTAAATTGCTGTAAATTAACCTTCTAGAGTATGGATGTCAAACTCACCCCAGGCTCCCAGCTAAATCTGGGACTAGCAGTGGGGCTCTGATGGACATGCAGACAAGTTGTATCAGAACAGTTTATACTAGTATCATTTGATTGCAGTAATACTATATCTGCTTACATCCTAATGCTCTCTTTCCTCTCACTGCTGCATTCCCCATCTTTCCACAGAATTGAAAGAAAATAATTGAAAGAGCTTCAGTTTAGTGAAAGCTATTAGCATCTCACATTTAGAGGAGAAAATCTTACCTATCAGCTTTTGAAAGTAGACCTGCTCCACGCAACAAGAATAGGAGCGAGTTCCTCTCCTTCAGTCAGATATAGGAAAAGAATCAAGTCTTTTAACTAGTTATAACTTGCCCATCTATGGCTAAGAGTCATCGATGCAGCAATAACCAGTTAGCATGAAGCACCCTGGGTAACTCTCTGCTATAAAAAAATAAATAAAAGTCCTGAAGCAGTAAACTATGATTTACTTCAGGTGGTAGTTTTCAAGACAGGTAAGAGAAATAATGCCTTAATAAAACACTCAGCACCTGAAATAACATTACTATACAACACAGAAGATCCAATCGCAATCATAGGCCCACTCTACTACATGGTGTACAAGTACAGTGTTACAGAATTCAACAGTATAGAATAGACCATGTATAATTCTGTACTACGATACACACACACACGTTGTATAGCATTATACATGGTCCCTGACCCAAGGAGTTTACAACCTAAGAAGTCAAAGAGCATATGAAGGGCAGAGGAGAGGGAGATAGCAATACGTTTTAAATCTGATCTTTTGTTTTGTAGTTCCATAGTGTCCCCAGTTTAGCTACTTTACACAGTCCAGTTCTTTTTAGGTGGCCTGGCAAAATTGAAACTTGATCAAAAGTCTGAAAGAAGGAACTACTGTCACTGACTGATGAACAAAGGGAAGCACAAAAGGAAACACAAAAAGGCTGAAATCATTGGCCAAGTGGAAAAGGGAAGCAACATAGTCAAAAACCCATTTGCTGGGTGCCCCTGGAGCTCCCCATTTCTCCACACTGTCCTGCTGCTTGTCCCAAGGAACACACCAAGGCTTGCCCTGGGATAATTTATCACCCTGCATAAGCCTCAGTTCCACTGCCCTTATACCAGAACTCACAGCTACAATTGGGGAATGTCTGCCAGCTCCAGATACTTTCAAAACACAAGGGAAACTATTTTAGGTCCTCCTTTCATAGAATGGGTGAGGTTGGAATATCATTCACCCTGAGATCATGCTCTACCACAGGCAATCAGTAAGGAGACAACACAGCAAAAGGATTTATTGTAAAGAAGAGAATTATACAAAAGACAAGTAACTACTCTTACCCTTTCGTCTGGCTACCACCTAGCCCACCACTGCATACCCACACATACAGCTAGGCAAGGTTGTGGGAGCAACCCCAGCAGCCGGATGAAGGCAAGTGCATGGGGAGTGGGGGTTGGAGGGCCAGGGCTTTGGGACCATCAGGGTGGGGGGAGTGGGGGCGTGTGTGGTGGTGGGGAGGGAGGCAGGTGCCTGCCGGCAGTGGCAGAAGGCAGCTGGGTGCTGAGGGTGCTGTGGGGTTCGGGGGGGGGGTGTAGGTCAGGACAAGTCATCAATCTTTGCAAATAGGGCCGAGTATCAAAAAGGTTGAGAATCAATGTTCTACCTAATGATCCATTGCTCTGAGATTCTGTAGCCCTTGTGGGATTTTTCTTCCCCACTACAAGCGAATAATACCTAAGGTGCTCTTCCCAAGAATAGCCATTTCTGCCTGTGTTTGGGAGTGGCAATTGTTCTTGCCCTAGTAAGACAATGGCAAGAGATACTTAGCAGGTTAGCCCACTCCCTTTTCCTTAAGCATGCATCCCCTCAGTTCCTTTGACTAAACGATGTCCAAAATCACAAAGATTCATACAGAGATAAAAGTGATATAAATGACATTGACTTTGCAAGATGCTGCATATGCCAGATCAGTAAAATAAACATAAGACAACCTGCATGATGCCCCACAAACACCCCAGGCTTCTTCCAGGCTCCTCCCTGCAGGGCACCACAAAGATCCACATGCTGCTTTTCCTGATACAACCCAGCCTTGGCTTCCTCAGGCTCTCACCTCATCTACTTTTTCCATGCTGTCTGCACAAAGGAACTCTGCAGTGTCTATATTGACACAGCTGTGGCTCCTGTATCTGGGGACTGGACTGCCCTCCTTTCTTACTATTCTTAATAGAACTGGCCTTTGATACAGGCATGCCACCTTCAAAAGTGTCTTTGGGATTCAGGGATACATCAGCATCAACCGAGATCCAGGAGCTAAATCTTACCTGATGGAAAATTATATGACCCTTGCAAATATGTATATTACAGATTGGACATGGTTTACACAACAATAGCCAAAGTCACACACAGAGATCCTGAACAGTTTGATGCTCATACTAGAGTAGAACTAAAACTGGGAATCCTGTAATCAGTAATATTGCCCAGCACCGGCCCCCAAAACTGAGAGAAGCATAGAAAACTGGAATGCATGGTCAGGTCACTTAACATCTGCCTCATCATGCCATTCTGGGTGTTAACAAAGTAAAGATAGTGTAAGATGGTATCAGGTGTGCACATACCCAAGCTGGATTTTATCTGGTTATCACAGGTAACAGTAACAATAAAGATGTGGCAATATAATCAAGTGACCAGGACACCTACTCAGGGTCCCCAAAGGTTTATGGTCCTGTTGTTAATCCACATCCCTCACTGCAACTGTTATCCCTGCTAGTTAGATTAAAGCTAGCACGTGCACCCAACTACACCTTCCTTTGCACTTTGTTTTGTTATTTAGATGCATCTAGCTCCTCTCTCAGAATATGCTGTTCCAGCACGAATTCTCTTCCCAAGACACAACTCTTCTGCCTTCAGAACCTGTAAGTACCACAGTGTGCTGTGAAGAGATAAGATTAGAGACGAGAGGAGAGAAATGAACATACAAGCTACCTTGTACTTAGTTGCTTTTTCCAATTAAGAGCACAGGGAGACGAAGCTAGTTATCGGCTCCCTCCATGTGGCACTGACCCAGCAGTCACATTTACGTGTTCTAAGATGCAAGATTAGTTTTGGGAGCAGAGGCAGCTAAGGCAAGACAGTGCTCAATTTTCACAGCCCTGTTTTAAGAACAGTGCGTTCTGTTCCTTACACAAGAGACCGGAGCTGCAGTATTCACCACGCTTCCCCACACCTTAAGGAACTGCTGAAGATAAAGGCATATAGCTGGAATGCTTAATATTTCGCCTAGTTATCCCCATGTACCTCATGGAAAGTCAGAAGCTGCAAGTGCAGTAGCTCACTGTCAGAGGTACATGCTATGCATTTGAAATCAATATCTATCAACATTGCATTTAAATCAGTGCTAAGCATGGAGGTTAAAACCACTCAAGGAAGGGTGGGAAAAGTTACAGCTCAATTATTAATACTGTTTTATTTTCCTAAAGGGAAACCAAGGTGGTTCATATCAGCTACCAGGAAAACAAAGCTAGGGAGGCTCTGCTGCTTTCAGTGGAAAGATCTGTAAATACAAAACAAACCCTGTAGTCACTTTTGATCTGCTCAGGATCCCCCCCCTGGCAATTGCTGGTATTGTCTTGGGGCTTCCACCAAAATAATGTTTGGATTCCCATCTTCGTTAATCCAGTTGTATTAAAACAAAAATTGTTAAATATATTCAGTTATTTCAATACAAATTTGTTTTTAGAAAAAGCTCAAGATTATTTAGGGTTTAGCAGCATTATAAGATAAAGTATCATAGTTACCTGCACACTACATACATCTTTCTCCCAACAATTAGCTTTCCAAAACTGGGAAATGTCCGACATGGATTTTCTGCCCAGAATAGAAGCATGGACATGCTGTAAGATCTTTGCTGCTGCTTTTCCTTCTCTTTCTTCCAGCTGGTGCATGGAGGAAGGGGGAGGGGAAGGCAGGGGCTAGGGTGCAGTGGTGTGGTTACACTTTCCCATTGATTCCTGCTCCATCCAAGTTTAAAATCAACTGCCCCACAGCAGCAGTGACATTTCTATTCAGGCAGTTCTGGAGAATCAATTATTTCATGCTGCATTATAACTTATGTAATTCTTGAAAATCTCTCTACACTCCATGGGTGTTAATAACTCTTGTCTTTTAATGGTCTTGATTGTTCCACTAATCAAGCTGTTCTTTCTTCTGAAATTTGCTGTTAGCTCCTCCAGGTGTCTCTTCTATTTCACAGCCCTGCAAAATCCTAGATCTGTCTATGCAGTCCAATATTCAGCAGCAGCAGCTTCAGGTTTTGGTTGAACAGCCAAGACCGACTGACAATTCAGCTCTGAAAAGGTTAAAAACTTTAGCTTTTGCCTTGAGCAGCACAGGCAGTGTAAGATGAAGATTAGGCTATGTCCATGTTCTATGCAGCCATAACGCTGAAAACGTTTTTCTTCATTTTGCCTTCCTACAAACAACCATGTCTTTAGGGAAGTGTGGCATGCAAAAAAAACACAATATGTCCTGTTTTGTAATTCCCTTCAAGATAGCACCTGCCACAGCCTCGAGTCGAGAGGGTAGGAATAGGCAGTATTTTAATTTGAGGGGAAGAAAATGAAATAGAGCAGTAACTCAGACTATTAGTAATTCTTCAAGCACGTATATGTAGATTACAGATAACTATCCAGAGACTAGAGTGGCTCAAAGTAAACAAAACAACACAAATTAAAGTTATGACCTTTAAGGCTATATGTACAATATAATCATGTTTGCCTTCACTACAGTCTTAAGATACTTCAGATCTTTTACTCAATGTTACAGAATTACTCAAGACTTAAGACAGGACAGCAGAAGAAACTATGCTAGGACAACTAGGGACATTCTTCCACTTAAGGAGGAAAGAGTAAATATTTCTGGGCAGCAAGGATGCAGACATTTTTATCCATCTTCTAGCCCAAGATTAGACAGCCTCTGTATCTGGCCTGCACTATAACTACTAGAAAAACAAGCCATTGGAAAATTGGGTCTAATTTTTCTAGTGAGATGCACACAAGACAACAAAGTGCATGCGATTTGCAGATTGTGGTAAAAGCCTTCTGATATGGTATTCAGATTGAACTATGTGCTAGTTAGCTCAGCAATAGTGTGAACACCAAATAATGTAAATGGATGCAAACACAGCTTTCCATTGGGTTCAAAATAGGAATGCTCACACTAAAAAGACTAAGTATATTAGTGCCTATAATGCACATTTTCATTATAATTATGCAAACGTGTAGTAATGGTCTTGCCCCTATTCTCCCAAATACCAGAGGTTAAGAGAACGAAAAAGATAGCTAGTTATTTTTCACACACCAAAATATAGGAAGACACAAGCTACTTTATGAAACAATATATAATTCTGGCTGTACTTAACAAGAATTTTCACTTGCTATATTCTAACTTCTACCTCATTGAGCCTTGAGCATTTTTCACTAGCTTGCTGCATAAGGCTTTGGTGCCAGCTTAAGTGGAAAACAACTTTTGATTTTGTTTTGTAAGAGTATTAATAGAACAAGGCTCTCAAAGCCATGAGAAGACCGAGGAAAAAAAAGAAGTCAAACTTTTGCTACATTAGTAATCTCTTTCTGGCACTCAAGTATGGTAAGAAAAATGGTATAAATACTAAGATTAAAAACCAGAAATTAAGTTGGTTTTGACACTTCCAGGCTTTGTGGAAATGAAACAAAGGACTGCGTACCAGAAACTAAAATCCCAAAGGTCTCATTTATACTCAAGGTGAGCATCATGTGTTTCGATACTATGGTGATGAATGTAGCATAAACACCTCAAATAAGTGGCATATGAGGAGAGAACAAGGAGACAGCTCACAAGTAGATATTAATACTGACATAGTTTCTCTTTTATGAAACACACATTGAAGACAACTTAGTTTATTAAGTTAGAGAGGTACTCCAAGTTATCTGGGAGTCTAAATAAACTTAACATAAGATAAAAGCGTAAGTCAATGAGAAAATTATTTACGCTTAATTCCAGAACAGAGTTTATGTGATGAGCCTAATTCAACCTGTGTCCCAGGGATAAGAACCCCACAATGCTGCCTGTTACTAGATAACTGAATTCTCTCTTCTGATGATGTCACCAGATACATTTATTCAGTTTTCTGAAACCTGATAAATCATGTCAGATTACTTCCTTTTTAATACGCTGGTCTTATATTAAAGCCTGAGACCACACATCCATTTGTATATGAAGTTGCATTAAAAAAATATTTACATGGCTTTTAAAAAAAATAGCAGCAGAAAGGTCTGTCTCTGCCATATACTTTGAGAGAAATACAGTGAGAACTGATGGTCGCAAAAGTCCCCAGAATTATTCCATCCTATCAAGCTGATTTTGTTTTCTTTGGACTAATCCCTTCACCATCTCCAGTCATCCGCTCTGCTGGCCTCTTCCTTAACCCTTTCATTTTCCTGGTCTGTAATTTACCAAGATCCTGTTTCTTCATATGGATTCGACCATAGGTTGTACCAAAGACATCACGGGAGATATTTTTCTTCTTCTTTGGCTGTAAGAGAAAATGAATGTTAATAAAGACCATTTAGTCACCAAATGATTACAGACAGATGACATCACTATCACAGAATTCCCAAGCATTCAAGGCAAAGGCACCTGAAGTGAAAATGTACAAATTAAATTAAGGATTTCTGACTCTTACCCCACTACATCTTTATCCCACTCCCTCCCATCAATATCATGGCATGGGCTTTGGGGTGTTGATCCAAAAAAGCTATGATTCTGCAGAGAACGTATAATGCGGTAATGCTTTCAGCCCTGCATCTTTTTTATGGCTAACTTTAAAATTTGTTCTGGCTTAAAGATTGTGCAAGTTGTATACAAAAGACATTATACTGCAAGACCAGTTTTAAGTACCTTGAGTGCCTTAGGCTGTTTTAAAGATAACTTATAAAGGTCATCTGAAGCCAAATGTGTCCTCCTCATCACCAAATCTAATGAAGGTCCCATGTCTTCTAATTCAATCCTTGGTATTTTACAGCCTGATTTCTTCAGTAATACTCTAGAGAAGAGAAAAAAAATAAAAATATTAATATTGTCCTCTCATTTAGTTTGTAATAATTTCCAACTATTTTCTGACCTGCAGAAGAGAATTCAGCCTTTATGAACAGGTGCTACTGCTCGATTCTTTGCTCAGAAAAATACGTGGCACTATGGCTGCTTACAAATGTAAAAAAACAAACAAACAAACAAACAAACAAAAAAGTGCTTTACTTTAAACTCTGCATGCCCCTGCACTGAGCCCAATGCGTGTCCAGGAGAGGCACTGCGTTAGTTTGACCCAGCTTGCCCAATGTCTGGTACTTCAGCGGGGCTTTTTGGCGCTTTTATCTAATAGCTGATTGAATCATAAGAAGCCAAATTGAATTCAATCAGCTATTAGATAAAAGCGCCAAAAAAGCCTTGCTGAAGCGCTCAATCTATACAGAAGCTGCAGAGCCTGGTTGATCTAATGCGCTAACTCTTCCAGTTTAAAGCACGGTTGTTGTTTTGTTTTGTTCTTTTCATGTCTGTCAGAAGACTGAGTGTAGTTAAACATGACTTTTCAAATCTGTTTGATCATAACATGAGAGCATTCAACATCTATTCAGCCTGAGCCTGTTCCAAACAACTACCCAGGCATCAATACTGCGAATTCAGTTTGTTTCAAAAGTAATTTGACCTCTTATGCATTAATCTAAATTTAAATTTAGATTAGGTCTGTGATATTGGATTAGATATTTTTTCTGACAAATTACAGAAAAGTGCCTCAGGCATAACCTGTGAAATTGAGAACTTTTGAGAATGAGAAGCTATGAAACAACACTCCCTCTAAGCTGCATGGTGTGCGTGGCCATGGCCACGCACACCATGCAGCTTAGAGGGAACGCTGATATGAAGTATGATTTTAATAAATCATTTTATAAGCGAGAATTTAACAAGCTAGATGTGTATACAGAGTCAGTATCTGATGAGGTGTGCCTACAACACAAGCTAAAATCTGAGCCTAAACAGCACAAGTTCACTGTAGTGTAGAATGAAATCAAGGTTCACATTAGACAATCTAAGTGTACAAAAGCAAAAGGAAGCTTACTTATAGCTTCGCATGTAAATTTTCCCATCCATTGCTGTGAAATGCAGAACATGTTCTAATCCAGCCAGGCGAACATAGGGCACAGTAGGACCCCTGAAGAAGTCTGAAAGAATATTTAAACATATTGAATGCGCCAGGTTTCTTCTTGAGACAAACAAGACCAAAACCATAGGACCACAATAAGAGGATGCTAATTTGATAAGAGATCTCCATTATAGCAGATGGAACTCAGACTGACTGGTAAGTGTTTTCTAAATATTCCAAAGCAAAACTCTGTGCAGATTTTTTTTTTTTTTTTAGAATCACTGAATGTAACAAGTGTCTCTATCATCCACATCCATGAGTTTTTACTTGAAGCCAAAATACATGTTAAGTTGAGCATATCCCACATCTGAAAAGCTCACTGCTACTGCTCAGAGGTGTAACATTGGGAATGAGCAGAGTACAGGAAAACAAGTATCAGCTTCCCAGACGGTACTCTGCTAGCAATGAAAACTCCTGAACCTAGTTAATTGTCTTCTTTTTTTTAACAACCAAAAGGAGATAAATATATGGACACTGTTTCAATAGCAAATGGGTACGTCTTTTGAAGTAGCATCTTTAGTTGTCTGAAATAACCCACTCTTTTAAAGTTTCAACTACAAACTCAGAAAAATGAAATGCATCTCATAACTGTTCAAACAAGCTCGTGGTTATGTATGCATTCTGTAGTACAGAAAAGAACATCTGGATAGGTTAAGAGTTTGTCAGACAAATTGACTGATTCAAAAAACTCTGGCACCAAAGCCAGCAGTTAGGAAAGTGGCAGAGATCAATGAGGTAAAAATACAGAAAACAAAGAAGGAATACCTTTTAGTGTTACTGATTGATTTTTACTGACCCCTGTTTATAATATTCTTACTGTACTTATTGTACTATTATACAAGACTTACTTATTATACAACTTTCTATTTCATTACCCTGTTGAATACAGCACTATTAAGTGAAAGAAACCTGCCATTACTGCATCAAGTATTTTTCACTAAATGTACACTATTCAAACAGACAAATTAAGTATGATCAGTTACATGAAAAAGCAGCTTAGTTTTCAAGCAGGAACTTTAGATACTAGTTAACCAAGGGTTAGTGGCCTCTAGCACAGTTTTCATAGCAGGACTGTGGAAAACAGTGTGAGGGAAGTTAACATACAACAAGAACATCAAATGTGCCCATCATCTGTGGAGGGTGGAAGAAGAATGTGACCCTGTCCCTAGAGAACAAGGTGTGTTAATAAAAAACATGGATGATCAATACTCAAAACAGGGGAAATGCTAACAGACTGCAAAACATGGGGCTCGCTTCCCTTCAAGTTTCCCGTTCAGGTTACTTTCTAAAGATTTCCTTTTCAGTCACTTCCTCAATTATAATTTTCAGGAGTATCAGCACTGACCCAATGTCCAAAGCAAAGTTTTACTGGCAGATATAACCTGGAGTTTAGCCAAGAAATTCTTGGTCAATTGCATATTCTCATTCTTCCTTTGTTGGGTTACTGAATTCATATCTAGGGAAAAAGTCATTGGTAGAATATTTTCTTTATTTTTATATGCATTTTCCCAGTTTGCAGCTAAGACTAGAGCTCTCTTAGCAGGCAGATTTATATTTACAATGCTTTTCCTGGCAACCTGTCTTTTTTTGTGGTAGCCCATAGCTTTCTACCCACAGAATGATTTTTCCATCCAAATCCAGGCAGGCAAAAGTTTGTTTCTATGACATCAACCAGCTGCAGAACCTTTTCCTCTTTGTAACCCTATGAATTTGAAATATTTGGCTTTGTCTTAATTTTGAGGCAGCCTGCACTTTCGCTGGACTGGAGACCTTGCTTACCTCATCTTTTTAATTCCTGCCACCCATTTAGCATGTGCTTAGTGTGTTTCCAGGTCTTCTGATTAAGCATCCATTGCAGAGGGCTTTTGAGAACCTCCATTTTGTTTTCAAAGGCTTGGAATGTATTAAAGAATAAATTATAATCTGCCTACTCCTTATAGTAGCTGCAACTGTTCTTGCCTGAAAAGCGCAAGTGTTGCTGGAGATAACGCCTGCGACTGGTAGACCAGGGGCTAGAATGCTCATTCTGGGTTTCTTTTTATCCCCTATATAAAACACTTCTCAAAACACTTGCATCAAAAGATCCTGACTGAGCCCTGTACCTCTACATACTAGATCCTAATAACATGCACAGAAATGGTAGGATGGAGAAGAAATACAAAGTTCTACCTCAAAGATGTTCAGATTTCTAGGCAGCCAGGCTGCCATGAAACCTCAATTTCTTAAAGTGTGTCTGGACTCAATAATTGGGCAATTTTTAATATGTAAATAGGGGATATTAAGGAACAAGTGAGCCGACAGATGTTTCAATGAGCAGGAAAACATTTTAAGCCATGTGCTCAGGAGGCTATTAGAACAGGGGATTCAGTGGCTGCATCTCAAGAGGGATGTGCGGTGGTGGAAGTAGAGGGCAGGGAGGAGGGAAAAATCACTGGGCTCCTAATACCATCATAAAACTGGTCAGTGAAAGCCCAATGACACAAACAATATTAAGATACTTTTTATGGGAACAGGAGGGAAAATAAAATAAAAAGGTATTTTTTTCCCTGTAGGGGTTGTTTAGAAGGGAAAAGTACAGTTGCCATTTATATACACCCAAATAAAGTGTCCCCAAACTGTTAAGTGGATTTCAAAGGGTCAGTTACACAAAACATGCACATTAATTCCCTCTGCTTATGACTTGTATAACACAAGACCACCTTCACATGACAGCCCAAAAATGCACAAATCCTTTTCACGGAACAAACCAACAAAAACTGGGTTGTTTACCATGAACGTCAGTAATGTCACACAGCTTTGTTAACAAGGGATCATCAGATAACTCGTTTTCCCTTGGGGATCTCAGCAGCACTGTAACAACAGGGTCTTTAAACAGCAGTGACATCTTTCTAGGTTTTGTGGCAACAGTCAGGGATTGAAAACATTTTATTTCTCAGGAACAGGAAGAAAGAGCTACTCCCTATCACATCATAGGAGTTTTGGGGGAAGCCAAATTATAAAATGTAAATTATCCGACGTTATCAGTGTACCGTTATGTGGCTGAACCTTTCCTCTACCTATTGTTTGGCCTCTAGATGCCTTGTGGAAATCAACAGAACACCAAGACATCTGGTGTGTACTTGGCGTACATTCAGCAGAAAAAAAATTGGATGTATATTTAAAGTGCTATATCAGTAAGGCTGCAACCTTCAAATGAAGGTTCTCAAGGCCTCTAAATGCTGGAAGCTGTATGGGACAAGGGGCAGGGGACAGATCAGGGAGGACAGGCCCTGCCTAAATGCTTTCCCCATTAGTGCCTGATCTGTGCCACTGAGAGATGCAAAGTACTGGGCTAGATGGACCTGGGGTCTGACCCAGTATTGCATCTCTTATATTCTTAAAGTACATGTGGCTCCAGACAACTTAAGGCAAATTAAATGGGAAAACTGAAATTATCCAGATGGGTAACAATATAATGCAAAAGACCAACTGTTCAGTTACCTGGCACCTGTCTACAGCATGAGACACAATACCTTACAGTTTAGACCTCTGTCTGCCTCTTGCATCCATCTGTATACAAACACCAACACCAGGCAAATACACTTAAAGGGATACTCATCAGAATTAACTTTTCCAATGCTTTCTAGCCTTGGAGAAAAATCTATGCGTACCTGTTTACACATATGTATACCATTTAAAGTGAACAGGTACAATTAACGCTAGATATTTCTGTGCTTTTTTGTACATGTTGAGCAATACTAGCAAAATACCAGTTATTACATAATGTTGTTACTGCTTAATGCACTGCTGAAACCCTATTATTTAAAATACTCACCAATGAGAAGGCTTTTTAATCTTCTATACTCCTCACTTAAGTCAAACATATCACCAGCAAATATTAACATGGGTTTTGTTCCTTCAGGACACTTGCTGTTCTATTGGACATATTGTTTATACAAAAACAAACAAATATTCAAACAAGGTTATACAGCACGTTATTTGCTCAAGTGACCAGAGCACATTCCATTCTGTGCTGTTTTGGCTTCTGATAAACACGTATAGGGGTAAGTATCATTTCAAATTTATACGCAGTACTTGTATTTGGAATTTTGTGGGTCCTTTGAATAGGTGAGTAGTGTCTAAGGCCAAATAAGGCAAAAGTCCCTGATTGTAAGATGAGTTAGATAGTGAAAGAAACACTGTACTGGAAGTGCTGGAGGAAGCTTGTTGGCTTGGGATTACTAGTACACAAAGCACAAGCAAGCACACTGCATTTCTTGCACTGAGAAATGTGGAAGAGACTTAACAGAGCATTCAACCCATTACCAAATGCTGGGCTTGATACCGACTCACTGCTAGTGGACTACAACTTCCCTGCTGCATAAATAATTATGAAAATATATTTTAAAAAATTATCACACTGCAAGGGAGAGAGTTCACCTTTAATATGTTCTTTGCTACCTAAAAGGACTATTCCATTATCACCTGTTCTGAAGCTATAAATAAGCAGCTGCCAATTTCTGTAGTTTCCGAATTATGAGTGCAAATACAGAATGGATATTTTCAAACCAGTTTTGATGCAGGTGGAGTGTCTGTGCTCCATATGCAAGTCTATGAGCTTCAAGAAGAGGTGCTACAATTCTTTTAGCTAGAGATTAATGTTGTTCTAATGCATGTATGAAGTAAGGAGTAAAGCAGTCAATTACCTGTGCTCTGTGAAAATCAGGGTTTGTGCATAACTGAAGGTCCAGAAAAGCCTTTGAAGTATTGCACATATATTATAAAAATCACTGGCTGTGAAGAGATAAATTCCAGCCTTGCTAGTGTCCCTAATAACTTTAAGGACTGTCCACTGGTAGAATTTGATTAAGATAATCTGGTTTAAATACATTTTTACAAAGATCTTATTTTCACCTAAATGTTGGAAGCAACCCAAACCTATAGCAAAAACTTTTCAAAGGAACCAAATGGTAATCATATACATGTACAGAGGACAAAAATAAGATACCAAGATGAACTTGCACACGTTAATCCTGGCAGTCCGAGTTAGTACGTTAAAATGATCTTTTGTATACATGTGTGAGATGCAACAAAAAAGCTCACCAAAAGATGTCACTAGAGTACCTGCATTGAATATCTTACCTTAATCTCTTTTAAAGAGACAAACTTCTCAATGCCTAGCTCAATCATATCTAGGACGTGATAATCAAACATGCAGCCTGTGAAAAAGAAAAAAAGAAGTTGCTTTAGCCCAGTGGTGCTTAACCTATTTGGGCCCATGGGCCAGATAAGAGACCAGAGCGGTGGCATGGGGTCAATCCACATGCCAGATTCAGTTGGGGGGGGGGGGGGGCGGGGCGGCGG